CGTGCTTCATATGATGGAAGAGGAAAGTCGAAAAAAAATTATCCAATTCAATTTGCGAAGGACGTGTTGCGCATTTCACACCAAATTGGACTAATAAGCGCGTTTTCACTTATTAAAAAGTGTGATAAAACTGCAAGTTTACGTCTAATCGTCTTGGTGTATTGGGTGCTTATTCCTTATGATGCAAGCAATAAGTGCTCCGAAGACATCAAAACGATTTGACGGAAACATGCACTTTTATCACACTTTTTGCATTTTTGGGACAGTCCAGTTTCAGATGCAATCAGCAATACAAAAGGAATTGTTGTTGGACGGATTCTATGCGTTCCTCGTGTACGGCAATGTACGGATTCCATACTATATTACAGTATTCCAGAATAGGTCTTACGTAATATATAATAATTTATTAGTGTATGGGTCATGCAAATTCTAGCTGAGCCTCTTAATGAAGCCCAACATATTATTTGCTTTAGTTATGATTGTATTATAATGTTCTACAAAAGTGAGTTTGGAGTCTAGGATTATACCTAGGTCCCTTACAATTTTTCTTTTTTGTTTTTACTTTTTGGTTGCCTAAAAATATTTTAAAAATAGGTGTTTCTACTTTTCTGCTAACTACAATTGCGTTGTATTTTTACTACATCAAGTGTTGAATAAGTTGATTTCATTCTGGAATTCTTCTGTGTCGCTAGAATTACTTATTTCCATGAAGAGCTTCATGTCGCCTGCATGTATAAGAACTTTTATTTTTTTTAAGTATGTAGAAAATGTCGTTACGTAAAAAATAAAAAGAATTGGTGACCGAAATAGGTTCTGAAAGTTTATTTTGAAAACGAACTATTGCGTTACGTATTATTGGAGCCAATTCAAAGATAAATAATGGTATGTCGATTCGGTCAAATGCTTTACTGAAGTCAGTATAAAGAGCTTGAACGTGCTTGCCATTGTCCATTGCTCATTCTTAAGGCAAGATTACAAATTCAAGAAGATTAGAGGTAGCTGAACGACCTTTAAAAGAGCCGTGCTGTTTGTTTATAATTTGTTTTTTTTACTTGCTGATTTTTTTTTTTTTTTTTCGTTTACGATTGATTCAAAAAGTTTTGGGATGCAAGAGATAATGGCAATTCCACGATAATTACGGATGTCAGATTTCTTGCCTGATTTAAAATAGGCAACAAATGAGACGATTTCCAAACTTCAGGGAATTTCCAATTTTTCAGAGACTTATTGAAAAGGCGTTCTAAGGGATGGGTAAGTTGTTCTGAACGATTCTTCAAGAATACAGGTGCGATTCCGTCAAGTCCTGGTCCCACGCATTTGAGCCTTGACAAATAAATGGATTATTAAAAAAAAGTCCTGGTCCTTTAAAAGCGTCCAAATTTTTTAGTGCATTGAGGACTTCGTGTTGACATATTTGATTGACAGATATGTTGTTAGAGACTTCGGGAATGAATACAAAGAAGTCGCGGTCTTTTTCAGAAAATGTGGTGTATAGGGGAAATGGCTCTAATGTTGGCCTATGGATCTAAGATTGGGCCCAGCGCTAAAACTCTGCTATTTATCAATTTTATCTAGATGAACGCGTCATTGGGACGGTACTAATGAATATTTTTGATCGATATTGAAATTTAGTCGATTGCTGAATTTATGTATGGGCCCAAATTAGGGGCATTAAGGACGACATTACATCCATTTCCCCTACTTCCTGAAAGAAATTTGAAAGGGATTGTAGATTTCAGAAGGATTTTCACCTACATTTCCATCAAAATGCATTCGTGACGGAAAATTATTACTTTTAAATTTCATTTTTACATAATTAAAAAAAATCTAAGGACATGATTTGACTACATTTTCGACTTTACGATTATATTCTCCATGTGCAGTGTTAATGGCTGTGTTGAGTTGATTGCATATGTTATGATAGTGTTGTAAATTTGTGCTAGTGCTTTCTTTTTTGTATAATTTGTGTGCTTTCTGCTTTTTGTTCTTCAAATGTTTTAATTGTGGATTGAACCACACTGGCAGTTTGTTGTTATGTGTTTGCCTTCTTCTTTCTATTGGTACGGTTTCTGAAATTAGGTTACGAATAATTGAATGAAATCTGCCAACTTCAGTGTCGACATTTCCTTCAATAATTATTATATTTTGCAAATTTATTGTACATAGTTTATGATTGGCTTGTTTGTAATTTGCTTTATGATATTCCGGCACTTCTTGTACTCCCAGTCGCTGGGGGAAGAGGTATTTTGTATGAAGATTGAATATTCAATTGCTAAGTGAAACTTTTCAATCAGGTTCTTGAATTTGCTTGCTATTCTGTTGCCCGCGGCACACTGCCGAGGGCAGTAAACAGCGATGAACCAGACATTTACAGTTCGCGATTCAACCTTCACACTAAGAGCCTCAATGATAGAAGTGCGGATGTGAGGCAGTGTGTATAACTTAATTCCTTTCTTGACGACTACCGCAACACCACCCCCGTGGAGCTGGTGGATCAAGCCCGACAATATTGTAGTAATACAACCAGAAGTTGTCACCGGACTTGAGGTGGGTTTCGATTAGAAGGCCCAGGTCGATGCTGTGCTCAATATATTTTGCTCTTACAGAGAAACCATCCCAGGTGACGATAGTTAGCGACGCCATAACTTAACGATGACTTGAATCTGCTGGGGCTTATTGCGGCTCTTACGAAGAGCACCGGTCATGTTGACGAAGATTTTCATCAGTTCATCCGCTGATAACAGATCGGGGTTGTTATTTTGCGCTCTTAGTTTTCTCCAGAATCTAGGGGGGATGGAAGCTTTGTCCAGCAGAAGATCCAGACGTTTCTTGAGGGGGCGGGTTGCACCCGCGAATTCGCTTGTCTTTGCTGAGGAGCACGAAGAGGCGTGAAATGCCGGGGTTTTGTCCTTTTTGCGTCTTGGTTGATTGTTGGTTGCCACCTGCTTTCATCTAGTCTCCAAAACGGCAGCGAAAGAAGTTAGATTGTGGCGTCATCTTTGCGGAAGAGTTTTGAACTATTTGTTTATGTCAATAGATGGTCCTTATTATGATGAGAAACTTCACCCAAGACACCAAGTCGCGGAAATGCTTCGTTTCAGAGTTATTAATTTTGCTCCGCTACATTGCATTTTTGGCCCAGTGTGCATTGACTTCAGTTTCGACCATCTTGGGGTCTAAGTTCGGCAGGTCTCTGATTTCTACCTTGAAGGGTTTCTCATTGGGGATTCCATGCGTGAAATATGCCGCCTTGGAATCCTTCAAGTATTTCACCGCCACTTGTACCATAGAGGTAACTCTAAGACCAGAATATCCCGAAGAAACGTGCTCAACTTTTTGGCTCAGCTCTGGTACTATCTTCGGTCCCAAGCTAATCGATGCACCCCTCGAAACATAGGAAAATCCACGAACCCCTCATTTTATCTGTCAAACTTTCATAGCGAATCAAAACGAACATAGTGTAGTACTACAATTTCAACTAGAATGGGGTACGTTGATCGATTTGCTTGGGACCAATAGGCTAATCAAGTAGTGAGCCAAGTTTAAATCGTTAGTTTTCACCGGTTGCTTGTACTCAGCTGCAATGCACAGCGATGTGAAATCGCCAATGAGCGTGTTGAGTGGCACCTTCTTCACCACTAGTGGAGGAAGCTTAATTTTTGCCGCACTCGGGCCGCAGAATTCTCGTTGTTGACGGCGTCGCCGAAATCACCGATCTCACTTACGTTCATCACGGTAGCATCGTCACGTCTACTCGCACCATCAGACTGGTCTTGATTTTTCTTCCTCTTCTTCGTCCGCTTCACCATAACGGAAGTAGTATTCTCAACATCGGTGGGAAGAGTAGTGTATTCGAAATAGGTATACTCGAGCTTCCCTCACCGCTGTTCTTCTTCTCTGCTTTCTCTCGGAGCCTGCTTCGGGAGCGCTGTCTTTCCATAGAGGTAACTCTAAGACCAGAAGGTCCCGAAGAAACGTGCTCAACTTTTTGGCTCAGCTCTGGTACTCTCTTCGGTCCCAAGCTAATCGATTCACCCCTCGAAACATAGGAAAATTCACTAACCCCTCATTTTATCTGTCAAACTTTCAAAGTGAATCAAAACGAACATAGTGTAGTACTAGAATTTTGACTAGAATGGTGTACGTTAATCGTTTGCTTGGGACCAATAGGCTAGTCAAGTAGTGAGCCAATTTAAAATCGTTAGTTTCATATTGATTGTTGGTCTTTCCATCACACGAAGCGATCGACACTACTGACAACGCGATTAAACGCGCCGTAAAGCTGCTAACATTTGAAATAAACTATAAACTCGACAGAGCGAGCAAAAACCAAAATGTATTGCTTGACGGTCAAGCAGAGAATCCTCTGGTGACATTCGAACATTTTTACTTATTTAAATTCTAACTGAACTGGTCAACTCTACATTTTGAGAAGAGATGTAAGATAATTTTTCAATGATTATGTGCGTTTGTGTTTCATGCAATACGTTTTGGCTAATGGCAGATTTTTTGCAAGGAAGCACTCGGAACATGACCGGTACAAATGGTTACATATTCTTATTTTGATGTGATTTGATGTATCTAAAGCCCTGCCAATTTAGAATCGGTGCGCTTCTTTTGATTCGTTACAGCGCTCCTAGTGGTCGGTTCTGGAATCTTTTGACATAAATGGTGGGGGCGTCGGTGGGAACGTTGGCGGAAACTTTGGCGACGGCGACGTCACCGCGACGCTGATGCCCCGTACATGGAGACGATTTTGATGCTGAAAGTCGCGGGATCAGATTTAATTATCAAACTAGCCACGAATGACCTAAAACTGAAACTAGTCTTCAAATCTTGGGATTGATTTTTTCAATGGAAGCTCAATATTACCGGTGGAAGCATAACTGTCCCATGTTCTATATGGAGCATCCATATACCATGGGTGGGACAGTTTTGCCTCCACCGGCAGTATAGTGTGCATGGGGGACGTTTCTTTCATCAGTAAAAACACACTCAACTCTTTTCAAATGTTACAAAACATCAATAGCAGAACCAATTCATTTGCATCCAATCTCCATACATCTAGATGTTCTAGTTCACTAGGGTGTTCTAAATTAGCTAACCATACGTAATAAAGAAAAAACAACTAATTGTTCGACCTTGATGGTAGAAAATCTAAAAAAAAAACATACATACACTAATTCGGCCCCTTATCCAAACAACAAAAAATGTACAATTACCAGTTAACTTAAGGACTAACAGTACTAAAAATCATAATTTGATCTACGTTGTCTAGTCTAAATTCATCGTTCCTTATTTTTGCCCAGTCAAAAATCGCTCCAAGTTTCCTCTTTTTTATGCATAGGTACAAACGATACGTATATCATTACTCTTACTAGACAAATCATGCCAAAAGACATTGCATTTGAAGTTAAGCTTAGCGCAGCTAGCTCTTGTTATTTGGTGGAATGCCTGACACGTTGGGAAGATTCTTGTAGAACTGAAGCAGCTGCTCCTGGCTTAAAGCTTGCAGGTATAGGTTAGGATTCGAGTAGATTGCAGAAAGGTAGAGGGGATCGAAGGGAAATCCTCCGCCCAATGTTCCCGTTGTTGGTGTCGATGGCGCAGATGGACTTGGGGGCATTGGAACTCGTGTGTTTGGTATGGTGGGAGAAGATGAGTTGGCAGAGGACAATGCTGCTGCTGTTGCTTGAGCCTGTTGCTGTGCTTGTAGCTGCTGCAGCATTTGCAGCTGTTTCTGTTTCTGGTCCTGTATACGCTTCTGTTCATGAGCTGCCTTCTGTTGTTGTTCGAGCGCTGCTTTTTGTTGCTGCTCGAACCGAAACTTTTGCTGTTGCTGCATCTGAACTTGCTGGAGGAGTTTGATTTGCTGACTGAGTGGGTGGGAGGATGGTGAATCCGCTGGAGGTGGATGTTGAGGAGAGGAGATTATCTTCGAGGGTTGAAGGTGTGGTGGAAGTGGAGGCGGAGTCATCTGCTGCAGGGGTGGAGCTTGTTGTTGAGGTGGTGGATGAGCTTGTGAATTTGATCTTCGACGAGTGGCTTTTTTGGAAGCCATCGGTGGTTGCTCGGTAAGAGTGCCCAGTAATTGAGTTAAACCGGGGATTGATGTCTTCGAAAGTCCGGATGAGGAAAGAATACTAGCAACTAGGAGTGGATTGGCTTTCTGCAAGTTGGCTAACAAAAGTCCAGTCTCAAGAAGTGAATTTGGATTTGATCCCGTTCCGTTAGAACTAGATGTCGAAGATCCAGAGGATGATGGTCCCAAGGAAATTTTGGGGCTTGGTACTTTTGGCTGAGCAGCAGGGGGAGTTCCGGCAGCGGTCGGCAATGGCACAATTTCGAAAGGCTTTTTCTTTAGACTCGGAGGATTTTGATGCTGTGGACTGGTTACAGAGGGCTGCTGAATTTGTGATGGTGCTTGGTTCGGTCCATGTACTAGTGTGATGTGCAAACTCGGAGCAGTTCGAGGAGCACGACCTGTACTGGAACCGGAAGTCGTTCGCTGTTGTAAGGACGATGTCGTGAAGTCCAGACCAGCTGGAACTTTAGCAGAGAGATTTTCAGCTCTAGAATGTTTGCTTCCAGTCAGGTCTAGCAAATCCGTTGGATCTTGAATAGAAATTTGTCTTATTGGAATGGTAGGAATAGTTGGAATATCTTTGGGATTTCCAAAGATTTGTCCAGTCTTGGCATACATTCCCTGCGTTTGGCATTCGATTGGTATAGGAATGCATTTCCGATCTCGTGAACGAGATTCCTCAGCCTGTTTACCCCGTTGTGGACTCAGTTCGGCAGTGATGTTGATCCGCATAGGATTGGGGCTGGTCTTAGAGCTATTTTGAGTGATGGCAGAGAAAATGCTTGCTCCATTGGAGATTGGCGTTACTTCGAGACCACCTTCACGCAAAATATCTAATTTACGCTTCTTCATGGGTGGGAGCAATGATGGTATTGGACGAACTGAAAGCCCCGCCTGTTTGGCAGTATTAATATTGTTATTGGTGCTTTTGGTGGGGGTTGATGAGTCACTTTCATTATCACTATCAACGAGATCAATAACTTCAGTAGGTGCTGGGACATTTGCCTTGGATATGCCACCATCTCCAGCTGTTGGAGATCGAACAGGATTCCCACTTAAACCGGAAGCTAATCCAGCTAATGCAGCTGCTCCTGCAGGACTGCCTAGCATGCTTGACGCAATTGGAGTTATCGTGGTGAGACTTTCTCTACCAAAGAGACCTCCACTGGTACTGAGTAGAGGAATATTTTCCTTTTCAAATGGTTTATTAATGGTCCCTGCAGAAAGATTCGAAGTACTGCCAGACAATTTTCTATCAGTTTTCATGCGAACGTTTCGCAAGGAAGAAGTTTTCGATGGAGTATTGACTTGTGGGTTTGTACTAGCAGTACTGATCGACACAGTACCGCTAGTGGGACAAACTGATACTTCTTTGATAGTCAAATCAGGATCTGTGTTCACCGGGCAGTTCAGAGGGAACAAGGTCGCACTTATATTGTTCTCGAAGTTGGAACCTTTTGAATTGTCCGCAGATGGAGACTCAATATTAATCTCTTGACCAGATTTGTCTTGCTTAAAGCTATATTTGAATTGCGAACCTTCATTGGGACCACCACTAGAGCCCTTATCACTTGATTGCACGGTAATTTGTTGTATTTGGATCTGGTTCGTAATTTGAATTTGATTCGTTATATGTTGGGGACTTTGTCCACTAATCTGTTGACTATTTGTTTGCTGACTGTTCTGTGGATGAATAGTGGTCTGATGCACCGTGATGGTCGTATGTGGTTGATTTATCTGTATTTGGGACGATTGTTGATCTTTCTCGTCGATATTGGGACGAACGATAACCGTCAACGGTACGGATACCGGAGACATTCCCAGATGTACTCCTTTGGGACTCCCGGTCACAGTACTGCTGTTACTGTTGTTACTCTCCAGAAGAGGAGATAACGCTTTTGCTCTTAGTTTACTTTGTACTTCCGCAGAATCATCCTTGGGTGATTCCGTTTCTTTCTTTTCTTCCAGTTCTTTTTTCACCGTTATCTCCTCCACTAAGGGCGCCGCAGACTTCTGGTTCTCTTTGTCTTCCTTGCATTCCATCTTCACAGCTACTACTTGATCATCGACAGCTTCCTGTTTCTCGATTTTAACCTCCAAAATGCCTTCCTTCGTGTCGGGTTCACGAGGGGTCGGTGAGATTTGACTTTCGTGAGATGCCTCCTCCTGTTCATCAATTTCCTTCTTTACCGCTTCGGCGATATCTTGCTGATGTTTCTCGTACGGGAGCAATATCTTTTCGTACTTTCGCCGAGTCATGACACCATTTTCCCCTCCAGTTCCTTCCAGCACCTGGTTCCATTGGTCCTTACTGCTAATCTCACTGTATCCGCCCAGATTGAGCACTCGCGTGTAGATGAGATAAAGTTTGACTGGAAAGAGGGAAGTTACATCATTAGTATTAATAATCACAGTGAAATACAGCAGAGTCGATACAAGGTCGGTGCACGGTGCTCAACATTCAGTCTAGTTCTCATGCCTAACCCAGAGTCAATGTTATAATAAGAATCCTTCTTCTTCTTTCCTTTATTTAACGTCGCAATCTAGTGCCAATCACCGACGGCAATCGAATGTGCAGGAAGGCAACTTCCACACCTGCGTAGAATATCGCTCCCATTCAAATACACATGGGCCGGGACCAACAGCTTTACTTCCCTTCCGAAGGAAGCCATGACCAGAGATTTTTATGTCTCAGAAAAATGCCACCGACCTCGGCTGGGATTGAACCCAGACCCATTAGGGTGAGAAAGCAGTCACGCTTACCACTACACTACCGGCGCCGGCTATAATAAGAGTGAAGACAGAAGACGCCAAGAATGAAGACAGAAGTATCAATCGAACTGTCAAGCGGGGTACCAAACAAGCAAAGTAAATAAATTTTATTGTTCCCACAGCCAGTGAACTACAAGTATTGCATTCATTAGTGACAATATTTTATTTAATACATTGTGGTATTTATAAGTAATACCAAGCACTTGTTTGAACATTTTTCAGGTTCAATAATTGTTTGTGTCTCCCAGAAGCCCCGTTACCGACATGCATTTTTTTTTACTTCTGAATGAAAGTCATCCGATGTTAACGCAAAAATCCTGGTTGCCGTAAACTCTGACGAAAAATAAATCACAAATAGTGTTGATTGTTCGCAACATTTTCTCTTGGCGGGACTCTTATTATATTATAGGCCTAAACAAGCCCTTAACTAGGATGGTTGAACTTATCAAATTACAGACCTTGGCTTTATAAATAGCAATGCTGCAAAAGAATAGTTTGGACCTTTAGTTTATGTAAAACCCAAATAAAATTCCTGAATCATTTTGCAAAAAAAATCCAGTTGTCACCGTTAAGCTAGGTTTAGGCGATTCAAGTCAATTGATCAACTCACTTGAATTCAATTGGCTTGAAAAGTTGAGCCGGATTCAACTTTTTTCAATTCAAGTGAGTTGATCATTTCAATTGAATGGCAAGGTTTACACGTTCAATTCACGTTCGAGTCAGTTGAATTCAACTGACTTTATCAATTGACTTGCCCTGTCTACACCCAGCTTTTGAGTCAGACGCTTTTCCCGAACTGCCGAAGAGCCAGAGTGAATCCCTTGGCCCGAAAACACGCATACGCAGGCAGCCTGCAGCAGCTTCTGTGCAAATACAATGAGCATACAATGCGTCAAGTTCATTCAACACCACTGCAAGCTGTCGTGGTTTTAAATTACGTGTTCAAAAGCCAGAAAATACGCCCCGATCGCATATTATCACCATAGAGGTAACTTTAAGACTAGAAGGTCCCAAAGAAACGTGCTCAACTCATTGGCTCAGCTCTGGTACTATCTTCGGTCCCAAGCTAATCGATGCATCCCTCAAAACATAGGAAAATCCACGAGTCCCTCATTTCATATGTCAAACTTTCATAGCGAATCAAAACAAACATTGTGTAGTACTAGAATTTTGACTAGAATGATATACGTTAATCAAGTAGGGAGCCAATACAAATCGTTAGTTTCCACCGTCACTGCCTACTATACTCGAAAAACACGTAAATTTTATCATAGTATTTTAGTATCAATTTGAATCGCACATGTTTGTTATCTTGCAAAGTAGACGTAATATTTAATTACAATGGAAATTTCCCGATTAACCGACCGTCTGGTATTTACTGCATTATGAAGAAAAGATCGATCTTGCAAATATCGATTCTATTGTACCGATTAAATCGATAGATTGATTCTAGTGCCGTAAATAAAATCGATCCTCCCAGATCGATCTTTTACTAAAAATCGCCCAATCCTAGTGCTATCACACCCAACGACCCATCGAATGAAGCCTGCACGGACGACATCACGACGGCAGAAATCTGGTCTGCAACAATAGCAAGTGCTCCACGCAAATTCCCCGGCTGAGTTCTACCACCACATGTTCGACGTCATCCACTGAGAGTTGAATCTGTTGCAGAATGAGGCACTCAGCGGTAATCTTCCTCCATCATTTGTCGAAGGCATCATCGAGCTGGTTAAGAAGAGAGGCGGCGACGACACAGCCCGTTCATATCGTCCGATATCGCTGCTCAACAGCGAGCGACTACAAGCTATTCTCCCGCATTATCAAAACTAGGCTCGAGCAAGTGATGATAGAGCACCACGTCTTGAGCGACGGGCAGAAACACTCCAACACAGAGCGCAATATCTTTCAAGCCACTCTTGCTCAGAGACCGGATAGCACATCTTCGCCACCACCGCCGTGCCAGGAAGCTAATCAGCTTTGATCTCGATCACGCCTTCGATCGGGTCCGGCACTCTTTTCTATTCGAGACCATGCGCTCGCTCGGCTTCAACCAAGATCTCATCGCTCTTCTTTCGCGCATCGCCAGCCGGTCCACCTCCTGGATGTTGATCAATGGGCACCTTTCTCGTCCATTCGAAATGCAACGCTCTGTACGGTCAGGGGATCCGCTATCCATGCAACCTTCGTTCTCTGTTGGTGGCGTAGTGGACGACATCACTGTGACCGTCACATCAACCAGGCCAATAAATGAGATAAATAGGCTGTTCACTGGCTTCGAGAGAGCTACTGGCGCAAATTAAATCTCCGAAAAACTGTTGCCGTCAATGTTGGGCTTTTCGAAGGCTACACAATCAACACTACAAACAGTCAATGTAGTTAACATTCTGGGTGTTGTTTTCGCAAATTCGATACGACTGATGACAACGATGAACTGTAATGTGCTGGTGGGAAAGTTCGTGCAACAAATCGTGCACAAGTGGTGTACTATCCCCAACATTTCTCTGAGTCAATTAGCGAAATTGGAAGGTGCATCGGAGCCGTTCGAAACGCGATTCGGAAGTATGGTGATGAAGCAACTTTCAAGGAAAAGAAAAAAATCTGGACGTAAACCAAACCCTGAAAACCGAAATCTGGACCGGAAAATCGTGCAAGCTTTCACTCGCAAGAAAAGTGCGTCGTTTCGAGACGTGGCTAAAAAAGTGGGATCCTCGAAAAGTTGCGTCCAGCGGGCCAAGGCAAGAATGGGTCTAAAGACGTATAAGCCAAAGCGGAGTGAAAAACAAGCCGCATCCGTCAAACCGAGGGCTTGACAGCTATACAACCAATTGCTGTGCGGAAAATCGGTGTGCGTGATTATGGACGAAGAATCATACGTTAAATTTGATTACAAAACTCTTCCTTGTGATCAGTACTACACCGTTCGTGATGGCCGAAGTGTTTTTTTTTTCCTTTGGTTTGCTTTTCGTCGATCTTTTTTACGTGCTGAGCACCAATGCTACTGACGCCAGGGAGGCAGCTCCCACACCTGGACCCTACCTATCGACCCATCAACTCATGAGCCGGGACCAACGGCTTTACTTCCCTTCCGAAGGAAGGCGTGATCAGCGATGTTATGCCTCAGAACAAGTCGCGGATAAGTCGATTTTTACCGAAAAATTAGGAAAAAAGGCTATGGTTTGGCAAGCCATTTGTGAGTGTGGTATGCTTTCCAAACCGTTTGTGACAACGGAGACAATGACAACCGATGTTACGTGCGTGAATGTTTAAATAAGCGTCTGTTACCCATGATCCGCAAACACGACGCCTCAGTACTTTTTTATCCTGGTTTGGCGTCGGTTAATTATTCCTAGGACACGGTAGCCTGGTATAAAGCCAACAAGGTCCAATTCGTACCCAAAGAGATGAATCTGCCAAACTGTCCCCAGGCCAGGCCAATCGAAACTTTTTGGGCCCTGACCAAAGCATATTTGCGGCAACATGTAAAGGCAGCGGATTCCGTTACAAAGTTTGCGAGAGACTGTTGGAAAGGCAACTGTGCTGACGATAATGATTAGCGTGAGATCAATAATCTGCTCCTTGGCTTACGACTGATCGGATTTCAGATTTTCTACGTTTAACTGTAAGAGAATGCTATAGAGAACATGAATACGAAATAAAAATCGAGTTTGCTGTAAATAGAGTTACATCATCGTTTTTTTTTTAATCGTGCTTAGACATTATGGGACACCCTATAGCTCAAAGTTTTGCCAAAGCCCAGGTTTGTAGTTTAAAATAGCCTACCTTGAATACCGCATAGTTCCCAGGAGACTCCTTAATTAACGTTTGTTCTTCAGGTTCATCAAATGAAAGTTGAGAGACCTTGCCATTTGATCAGTTTGGACTTTATAAACAGTGAATTTGAAAGACTCAGAGGATTTCAATGAGTTTCTGGAGGGCTTGACAGAAAATTGTAAGTATTTTTCCACAGAAACACTTAGTAGTTTTCCAAGTATTTCGGAAGAAAATTCTAAGGTGATTTTCAAGAAAATTCATCTTAAAGGCTTTCGAGAAGAATTTAAAGGAAATAAAGAGGAAAATTGCTATGGCATTTGGAATTGAAACCCACAGACATTTTTGGAGAATATAATATCTCCTGGAGGGGTTTCTTAAAGTGTTCGGCACTAGAATTCCAATACTTATAAAAACATCTATGGAATACCGAACAGCATCATAAGATTATTGAGGGGAATACTGAAAGTGAAAGTAATTTTGAATAAATGTTGGAATGATCCTAAGGAAATCCTTGAATATTTTGCAAGGACATTGTGAGATAAGAAGCAAATAAAAGATTTAGTAAAATCAAACTTTTAAAAATGTTCAAGATTCCGTACACATAAATTCAAGATCCAGAATTAACAAGAACTTAATAAAATTTCAAAACCCTGGTCTTAGAAAACTGGTCGAGATTATGGTCCTAGAAATTTCATAAAAGTGTAACAATAAGGTATGTGAGATCTCAAATTGGGAAAAAATTTCTATATACGTGCATTCTGTGACATGCCTGTGACAAGTTTTCAAGATCCTAATAGTATCAATGCCAGCAGTGATGCATTAAAACGCGATCAAGCTGAAAGAACGCCCGTGCAGTGCATGAAAAAGAACTTGAACAAGCTTTGCTATAATGGAAAATGAACGCTGAATCATATATGAACCAATCTGTTTCCACTTTCGTGACCAAGCTTGCCAAAGAAGTTGCTTGGTTGCTTTTTGCTGATATATTTGTTGATCATGTAACACATGGTGCGTTCACTGCTGTGTTTATTAAATTAAAGTCCTCCATTTTGTTGGGGTTTAGATTGAGTGAATACCCTCGCCATGTTAAAAGCACCAATGTTGCTGGAACACCCTGCGAGCTGCAGTCGCTCGTTACTTGATTTCCTATGGGGACATTCCGCATAGATATGTTCCAGACAGCCACATTGGGAAATTCAAATTTCTGGAAAGGACCGGTGTCGAGATTTCAGCATCATATTTAACCTCAATAAACAGTCCTCTTACAGCTGTCCCAATAGGTCCTGACCATCTGGATTACCTTTCCAAATTTCTACATGACCTTATGGATCTCCTGATCGTCAAGCTCTAGTGGAAGGCTAAACAGACGAATGTAACGAATGATGGTATTTATCACACAGTCTAAGGGGAGAGGGAAAGAGTGTAAAATTCTGTTACAAGGACTGCTTTTGGGATAGGAAAAACGAGACGAAAAGGGTAAGGAGGGTTCATTTTTCATAAATTTCTCATGACATAATAAATACATGGCCCCTAGACAGCAAATTGTTATTCTTGAATGCCATTTTTCCCTTCCCAAAGAAACTAGATTCCTTATGGGATGCCTTTGAATCGCATCGCATGAATCGCAGCCTTAGTTAATTAGTTCTGAGTTTCATATCCGCCGTTTTTTTCCGTGTTGGGTATATTCATCACTGCGACCATTACTTTGATCTATTGTTATATTCCCCGTTTTTATATTGCTTTATCAGTTATGTCGTATCACTATTTTGTGAAACGACCGACATAGACTGACCAAAAGCATTTTCCCAGCCAGGTATTACATTTCGAATGAAATGTACTACTTTGCTGGGACCTGCATTCCAAATATCAAAGGGTTCTGCCAGCCCCTTATCCAGAAAAATACGCCTTTTATTGAAGATTGCTGCACAAGAGCATAGCAGGTGTTCAGAGTCTTCCTTTTCTATACCATAGAATTGACACATATCCTCTTGAAGTTTTCCAATTAGCTTAAAATGAAATTTACATGGACAATGTCCTGTTATCAAACCAGTATAGACACTGAGATCTTTCTTTGATAATTCAAGAATTTTGCTAGTCATTGAAATGTTCGGAATTATGAACCGTTTCGACTGCCTAGCAATGGAAGTGTTGTTCCAATTGGTCTCCACTTTCATTTTTTTTTTTTCCATTTCTTGATCTCCATTTTAAGAGAACAATCAGAAACTCCACAGAATGGTTCTGGTTCTATGAATTGCTGAGATGATCCTAGCCTGGCTAACGTATCGGCTTTTTCATTCCCTTCAATTCCACAGTGGCCAGGAACCCAATATAAGTTTACTTGGTGTTGACAGGCCAATTTCTGGAGTGACATTGCACATTCCCATACGAGTTTGGAATTGCATGTTGCTGATTTTAAAGCATTTAATGCTGCTTGACTATCAGACATAATGCAGATATTCGAATGTTTATAATTCCTGCGCAAGCATATTACAGAGCATTCAAGAATTGCTTGAATTTCTGCTTGGAACACGGTTGGCCAGTAACCCATGGATATTGAGATATCAATCCCTGGACCAGTTACCCCTGCTCCCACACGGTTGTTCAATCTTGAACCGTATGTATAAAAAAACAGTTGAACCTGGACGGATGTTTGGTCCCCCACTTTCCTAAACATTACGATCAAATTCTGCTACATTGTAGAAACGATCGAAATTATATTTTTTCTCCATCCAGTCTTCATTATTTAAGATAATCAATATCAAACATTTTTAAAATGCTAAGGTGTCCTGTAAGATCACCTTCAAGGAAGTACTTTGTTTGTGAACCAGTTACCACCGTTACTCAAAATACTTCGCATCTAAAACCTGCCGATCGCTTGTAAGAACAAACAAGCTACCTACTAACTGGATTTTAGCTAGCTTTTGTTGCCCTCTTTTAGGGAAAATTTGAATATGAACGGCTATTATTGAACTTAAAGTAAAGTTACCTCAGATCGTAACAGTTCGAATAAACCCAAGACGAAATAGTTATCTGCATTACCCAGACTGTGGAACATTCTAATTTAGATTTAGATTTTTTTTATTAGGGTCACTTTAATATTCTTGATTCATTTGTGACCAGTCCAGGGATGAGATGGATGCTAACCACTGTTGCAGAATACTTTCGCTTGACAGTAGACAATAATTAAACAATACTCTCAAGATTTTTTTTATTGGATAGTGTCTTATATAAAGGCAGATAATAAAAGTAGCAGAAATAACTTCACCGTCTACCAGTCGAGCATCGAACATAATATGATAATGTAGATGTCAATCTTTAAGAAGATCATTATGAGAGCACATCATTTTTGAATTGTATTCAGACAGAGTTGCCAGTCGTCCTGATATGTTGTCTTTTAGGATTTTATGCAATAAAGCCCGATTTAGACGACTCAAGTAGACGTTAGCCCAGCCCCTTGAACTTTGGATTGGTAGATTTGGACAAAACGCATTTTAAACTTATGTGCATGCTTATGTTAAAATTTTAAGTACATGCAAAACATGCAAGGTTAGATTTATTACATCTTCTGCATATGTTTCATACAACAAACGTAATGGCAGTTCTTGCAATGGTTGCAGCGTACTATGAAGTTTTTCATTAGCATTTTTTTGTATTAATCCTTCACGAAATGATTTCCTACAAGCAATGCAACAAACTTTTTTCGAAAAATAAGCTAACCAAAAATACCAAAATTATTTTAAGAAACTTCCGCCGACCACATTACAGAATCTGTTCATGACGCGAAACATTGCAATTTCTACATACTTTTCATGCAAATTTGTAATATTATTTAGAAGCTTACATTTCCCGGTTGTGTGTAGGGGAAATGGCTCTAATGTTGGCCTATAGATCTTCAGATTGGGCACATCGATTGAAATTTCCTATTCTTCAATTATTCTTAGAACAAAGTTGTTCCATATAGTTTAAGCAACGTGTACTGAAATTCAGTGTTTTGGTTGATTTCTAATTTCATGATCAAACAAAATCTTCGTTATCACAATTCTAAAATCTAGTAAATGCTTGTTAATAGTAATGGTTGGTTGACAATACGTGATGCTTTGTTGTTTATGCTTTTTAAAGACTTTTTCGTTTTCCACGGTATAAAAACGGATTTCTGTATTTTATGCTGGTCATACTGCCCAGAGGACCCAAACCAATAGAATACATTTCTAGCTTGAATACAGAGCTCTATTATGCTCCAGTGACCAGGAGTGACGCTTGACTTGACTTGACTATAATTACTCGAAAAAAGTAGCTTGTAAATTTATGAACACGTGTAAAATTATGCTAAGGGCGCGTTAATTGTGCGCTAGATTTAGCGTAAATTTACATGATTTTTTTTTCGAAGTTTGTACAAATGGATATATTGGATGCTAGTGAAAAAATGACAAACAATGCTTATCTTCGAAATTTTAATATTGGCCCAATATAAGGGACATTAACCCTACTTAACGACAACTACTGACGTAAGCCAAACACGCAATTTGTATCGACCCAATTCAAGTAACATACCATCTTTCAGCGACGTTGCTTGACTATCGGCATACGCCAACGCATTAGAGTCCAGATACTGCTGAAGGCGTTGCAGGAAATCTCGTTCATCGGCTGCCATGCGATCATGAATCTGGAACAAATTGTCTAACTCCTCTTCATCAGCTTGCACATCTTCCGGTTCCTCTTTTTCCACCAGAGCTTCGTCACACACCGAAGCTTCATCGACTTCCTCATCTGGTTCACTTCCTTCAGTCTGTTTTGCTGTTCGTGCGACCTTCGGTTTACGGCCAGCCTTTGACTTTTTACCTTTTCCTTTCGTAGATTTAGATTTACTTTTATCTTTTTTTCCCGGTGGAAGAGGCAGTGGTACAGGAGGTACAGCAATTGGATCCACCAGTTTTACCACCGGTGTTGTCCTTGATGGCCTAGGGTTATAGCGAGGAGTGGACTGCAAATCTACTTTCTTGGATGGTGATGCCTGTAATGAAGACGATCGATGGTTAAATGATAATTTCAATTGCGCGATGTATGCTGAAAGTACCTTGCTGTATGAATAATCAGATATATCTGATTCATTCGATTCGCTTTCTTCGGAAACACCCTCCTTTTTGATCACCTGGGACGAAGAATCGGACAGCGTTTTCTTCCGTTTTCCTCGAGGTCGACCTTTCAGCTTTGGCGCCAAATGGTTGCACAGCAGCTCATGAGTTTCCAGTTCAGGATAATCGAACGTTTCCTTGCAGAACATGATCTTCAAGTTGGGTGTAGTGGCCACATATCCACTGAGCGTCTCCACCAGCGTACTCCGCAGCCAGTCATCATCCACTCCTTCCAGCCGCTTCAATACGGCTCGATAGCGACAGTAACGGGGGAAGCTTAATACTGCGATTTTCGAGGCTTTATTTTCCGCTGTGAAATGAAAAAAAAAACGAATGGTAGGAGTTTAGTGGTTTGCATGGCAAATCGGATTGGATAATTAAATTCAACAACTCGTCTGTCGAATGCGATTTATGTCTTTGCTCGCGATCGCGGTTTATTTTCTGCTGATGGTACAGAATTTAGCTTGTTTAAAAATATTGAATTTCTGTTTGCTTTTGCAGTGAATGGGTGGATACAGTTGGAACATGTTTAGCGTGCTTTCAGTGATGAAGAACGATTAAGGATTTTCATTCAAAATTATTTTGTTCAGTATGCTAAACGCTCACTAACTGAAAGAGTTTTTTTTTTAAACAACTGCCTGTAACTGTTTAAATTAAGTTTTTTTGTTTGAAATAAGTTGTCGGCTGTCATATTTTTGGCAGCAGTCAACATTTGGCTACGGGAAGTTGGAATTTCTAAAGTTATCAAACCGTTCCGTTCACTTAGCGAACGTTTAGTGTATTTGAAAATCATGTCCACATGGTCTATGATCGAGCAAAATGTGTATTACCATGTTCGCCAAAGTCCAACTGTAATAGAACAAGACCGGCTAGGTTGGCGAGCAGAAAAACACACATTCGCATTCTTCCGTTAGCTCGTGCAAGCCGCCTTCATGCCGTTGCTTGGTCGCATAATTGTGCATCTGCCATGCTTTCGCTGGCTAGCACTACTAGGTTTAATCGGTGCATATTTAACGATTGCACAAGCGTCCATCTTTTATTCGGGCCATACTCTTCCGGTGCCCAAGTACCGCACCTATTTTGAATCAGTTGGAGAGCAAAAGTTAACAACCAACAGATTCGAAGTAAGCGTTATCATCCAGGAGGACATCCTCGAGCGAAAACAGTGTGAATGTATTCCTCGGCACCAGTGTCGTTCGCCACGTAATATCATCAATTTGCAGACGTAAGTACTAACTCTACAATATGAAAACATCATCAGAAATTGCAAGCACTTGCATCGAAAGAGCTGCTCTACTACTTTACTCCGACCTGCCAAGCGTTGATGTGTGTTATTTATAGTAATGATCAATATTTACTCCAAAACGTCTCATTTTGGTTTTCCCTCTTCTTTTGCGGCTTTTCTTTTCACAGACGAGATTGCCATCATCGTGAAAAAGTGTGCTGTGAAACATGAGAACTGCCTCCTCAATGGACACCAAAACACGCATTTGACCGACGTAGGTACTATACAGACCAAAGCGAATAACAGAACGTGCGAGATTGAGCCTCAAGAGCAAAAAGATCGTAAAACGATGCATGTGTTTCTAATCCATCTCAATTTTCTTGCGAAGTGAAGCGTTATTTTATGAAGCGTTAATGTGAAAAATGTTCATGATTTTCCAAATAAAAACAAACACGAATGAGTAAGTCATCCAATTTGATAGCTCAAAAAAACATATCATACAAACAATGCGATAAGTGGAAGTAAACTTACCAGCATGCTTCTCCTTGTCCACATCGCCAAAGTCCAGTGATGAATTTCTGCTCAGATTGCGGGTGGTGGTCATCGAATCTTTTGCACTGTGCTTGTTGAATAACGTCCGAAGGCCCCAGTTCCACTCCAGGTCGATCGCTACCCACGTTAGTAGATCGTCAGCCCGCAGGATCACTTTATCGGAGATGGCTAGCACTTCATCCTGGAATGATGTAAAGTTAAACGAGGTTTATTTAAAAGATTTATATGAAAGGATTGCATAATTTAGTTAAGAAAATAATGTACATGGATGATGAATGAGGATGGTAATTTAGGTAGAAACCACCTCCCTTATGTGGTGTTTACATCTGTGTGGATTTGCTAGCGCTAGTGAACTATCATTGCGCCAAAAAGTAGCCAGAATAATGTAAAAAGGGCATCTGCGTCTACCAGCATGAGATTTCAGGAGCAACTGAAATTCGTGCTAGTTTCGTCCTAGTATACTTGAGCTAGCAAATCCGCACAAATGTATTAAGCGTCCCACGCGGAATATTTTCAAAATTTCAAAAGCAGTTTTTAAGTTTAAAACCGGAATTTGTTTCCGTGATTTAGGGATCTGAAATGGAAGCTGGCGGATCTGTTTCGGACGACCGGTGTGCAGCACTTCTAGCATAGCATCTAAAATCAAAATTCTGCATGAAAGTGCGTCCTACCTTGGGGGTGCGTTATTTACCATTCTCCCCTAAGTGCTTTTGTAAACAATGATTCAACCAATCAACCGTAAATTTCTTGCTGTGGTGTCTATATTACTCCATCACTATGGATAAATGATAACTGAACTTAGTGTTCGTTTTTTATGCCTTCATCGCAAGGAATCTATTATTAACAATAATCAAAAATGTGTACTCATGTAGAATGTGCTTATTTCCAAAAACATAGCAATCCAGTAGTTAAAATGTTGCTTATTTTTTTTTTCCTTTGGTTTGTTTTTTTCCGTCGATCTTGTTTTCCGTGCTGAGCACCAATGCTACCGACGTGCCAGGAAGGCAGCTCCCACACCTGGACCCTACCTATCAACCCATCAACTCATGAACCGGGGACCAACGGCTTTACTTTCCATCCGAAGGAAGGCGTGATCAGAGATGTTATGCCTCAGAACATCCCGGCGGTAGACCTGTGCGCCGCCGCGCCACGCCGCCGCCGCCGACGATTTTCATACGCCGCCGCCGCCGATGAAATTGAACCGGCGCGCCGCCGCAGTAAAATCGTTCACGCCGCCGAATAAATTTATGTCACGCCGATGAAAAATCCCCAACACCTTTTCGGTAAAATGCATCTTGGACGCGTAGAATGTGTGTGCACGCTCGTTCATGGCTACTCAAAATTGAGTGAAAACTCACTCAATTTCATTAAAACCGGATCTACTCTAAATTTAGTAACATAGCCACAACTAAATTTTGAGTAAAACAGCGAGGTACTTGTTGATGAGCTATTTCTACTCATTTCCATAGAATCCAAAACATAGGGAAATGAGTCAAAAATACACAAATGGGCAAATATTTGGTGTCTTTTCTTTTTTCCTTTAGGATAAATAAACCAAAAACTGGAAAAACAGTTAAATCAAGCATCAAATAAAACAAAATGCAAACAATTACCATTTAATTTGCGGTACGTTTCTGCATCCACGGAGGCTGCAATTTGCATCATTTTCGAATGATTTCTTTCGAAATTTTCAAATTTTCTTCTACGACGGCAAGGAAAACTTCGTATTTTTACATTCTCACAATCAGGGCTGAAAAATTTCATTACAGCTAAAATGTTACTTTTAGAAATTATGAAACTATGGGATATTGTAATAATAATTTTCATATGTAAGATACAAGAAGAAGAGGTAAAGCTTGTGTAGGACACATAAAACCTGTCAATGTCACTTCCAGATTGTCGCAATTAGCTATTAGGTATAACGAAGGGTATTCACTCATTGAAATATCTCATTACAGCTAAAATAGCTAATTGTGACCCGGAGAATGCAAAATTGACAGGTTTTATGTGTCCTATACAAACTTAACCTCCTCTTCTTGCATCTTACATAAAAAATATTATTATTATTATATCTCATAGTTTCATAATTTTGAAGAGTGGCGTTTTAGCGGTAATGAGATTTTTCAGGCCTGTTCACAATTCCATTTTGTTTCTTTTTGAGTCAACAAATGGGCTGAAAACTCAAAATTGAGATCCGCCTTTATTTATTTATCGTTGAGTCAATGTTACTCATATTCAGAAATCCCAACTACTCATGCTTTGACGTTTCAAAAGAAGTTATGAAAATGAAAATGTCTGACTCATGTTTGAGTAACCTCAAACAAGCCTGTATGAGGCAACTATTTAGCGTCATCTATAGCGAATTCGTTTATTATCGGTGTGAAACCGAACTTTTTGGCAGTGCGAACCTCAACCTGAGCTGGGTTTTAAAAACAAACGAGCAAACTGACGTTTGTCAGAAAACAACCAGACCCAATTTTGATACCCGATCCAGATTGGAACTGAATAATAAACGAATTCGCTATTAGTTTTTTGACACTTTTTTTTTCGCACTTGCTCTTTCTAGCACACAGGGATGAATCACTATTTCTAGATAGAGCTGGAATTAGGGCGTAACAGCTTTTGTAAACAATGAATTCTCTCGATGATTTCTAGAAAGTCAAGGCTCGCCTTCTCAAATCAACGTCACCATCGGGTAGCGGAAGACTTCCCCTTCCCGTTGGTTATGTTGGTTGGCGTGGGCGTGCCTTGAGTTTCGAGAAATCATCGAGAGAAGTCATTGTTTACAAAAGCTGTTTCGCCATAATTCCAGCTCTATCGTTCCACTAGTGCACTTCTAACGTGTGTACAATTTTCTTAAATTTTCCACATATTCAACAGTTTTTCCCGGGAAAGTATCGCAAAATTTATTCACACTATGAGTGACCTACGTTTTAGCGATTTTGAGTAATCTGAACTCAAATGTGGGTAGCATTTTTTGTACATGTGGGATTAGTTTGAAAAGTTTTTTTTTTTTCTATATTGTTAAAAATAAACCCACGCCGCCACGCCACCGCCGCCGAAAGCAAACGGCGTGACGTCGCCACGCCGCCGCCGCCGGCAGAAAATAGCATATCACGCCACCGCCGAAATTATTTTGATCGGCGCAAAGGTCTACCCGTCGGCGCCGACTGGGATTGAACCCAGGCCTGCTGGGGTGAGAGGTTATCACGCTTACCACTACACCACCGGCGCCGTTTTGATGTTGCTTATGTTTACATTGATTTTTAAAAGGTTTATAATGGAATTAGTTTATCTTGTCCTTATTTTGAGCTCTACTAGTGCATTATTTGTGCGCTCCTACCCACATTGCACGTCTTTCAATTTTTAGCATGCTCTCTCTGGTCTCTTGCTCTAAAAAAAATCGAGTGCAGCACAATCTTTTTCTGGGCTGTGCGCGTGCTTCCAAACGATCTCTTCTGAATACTCAATTTTCCTCATAGTACATAATCGAGATTTTTTTGAGGAACTAAAATGTTCCACCATTTTCCTTACAATCAAGCAAATATTTTAGAAAAATCGAGATAAATTTTACCTGCGTTTTTTGAGAATTTGAGTAAATGGAGCTCAAATTTGAGTCGTATTCAACGGCCGTGCTGACGTTATCGCTAAATGGAGGAATGATAGCTGGCAAAGTAGTCAGTGCTTCAAGAAAATTCACTGTCTTGCCATACAAAATGTCCAAACATTGAAATTTGACGGACGGATTTAAACAGATTTGGACCTGTTTGATACGACCGGAAGGTAGGTATCAGCACTGAATTTTTTGATAGCTATTTTTTAGAACAAAGTTTGTTTCTCCCTAAGAGAAGAGGTGACAATACGGGGGCAAAAATGAACCACTTTTCTGTCAAACGTGATTGGCCGATTTCATGTGCATAAGATAGAGATAGAGATAGAGAAAGATAGAGATAGAAATAAAAGAGGAAGAAGCCAATTGTCCCCTCTTCCTCTTAGGTTTGTCCAACTGTGGCTTAAAAATCATCTCGTGATGATGATTTAGGAAAAACAAATATTCTGGAAAAACTTGCTTGTACGCTACAGTCCATTGAAAGATCTGCCATTCATTTGTTGCAAGAAAAATTGCAGAGGATGTAAGAAATCGACCCTTACCCTTGATGTTCATGTCATTTGTTTTGCTGACTTGCTGACTGATCGGGAACCCGAGCACGATTAAATCGAAAACTAGATTTGATGTTGTGATGATCTTGAATTTCTTCTTATTTCCTTTATTTAACGTCGGTCTCTGTTCCGCAATCTAGTGCCAATCACCGACGGATCTTGAATTTCATTACTCGGGTCGCTTTCTTTTCTTTTCCTCAGCAAATGTCAAATAAAATACTATTGCTGCTCTCAATGAAAGCTAAATTAAGGCATTTTTATACGTGAGTCGGGTAAATGAAAACAATTTTATTTCATAAAAGTATAGGTACTGAAATCAAATTATGATTTCAACTTGATTGTGAAAACAAAATTTCTTTTCGTTTTGCGTTCATTTTCATGCTCGACTTTGCTCGGGAAGGAACCCACTATTTCCTCACAACGAACAACAACGCCGCGTAGCGCTTGTCGACTCAAAACACCCAATAGCCAGTTCTCTCACCACTCACAACCGACGGTGTGCGTCTTTGATAATCAGGCGATATCTCGATATTCTAACAGTGCAACCAGTACAACATCGGTTTCCCTCTACAACGAATCGCAGCGGAACCGATTCCGCTCTATATCGTTTTCACTTTCGGCATACTAATGAAAAAAAGAGATGATGAATAAAAGAGCATGAAGAAAGCTTATCAAACACCTTCTCTTTGTATTGTTGTAAAATGAATGATTTAATTATAGAAAAGATTACAGATTGCAAATTTATATTGTGTTCTGTGTTGGTATGTCTAACCTGAGTTCGATGATGACATATTGCGTTGTGCATAAAAAGGCTAATAGTTTATTTATTTAATTTTTAAAATGTGTATAGGCCGTGTATAATTGCTCCCCCCTCCCCCTTCCAACTCGATACGTACTTAATGAACAGCCCCTTTCAGCTGACCTAATGGATCATGAACACTGAAATCAGAATCAACAAGCATCAAAAATCCATAACGACCTTGAAGCTTGACAAAAACCAAATTCATCACATTCATTTTA